TTCTCATGGAGAGCAAAAGTGAGTCCCCCTAAAATAAGTGACCACAAAGCTGATATAATTGCTACTGTAACCAGTAGTAAAACTTTCTTACTGCTGTGGTTGGGCATTGCCTTAGATCCCAAATACTTGCCAAATCCACTGATTATTTCTAAAAAGAAAATTTTTGAATGACTGAATGATACCCAGCAGTTTTTAGAATCCATAAATTACTTTTCATACATTTGCAAATAGCCCAGGGGAGGAAACAAGAGTTACCTCTGAGCATTACTTAGGCACTAATTTTGCACCCAGAGAAAGCAAATAGTGTTCCTGCAGGACTCTTTTTTTGTGTCAGAAAACTCTCGTCACCAAAACACAAACTTTCTAAGAAACCTCCCCAGTTTTGATAACATTTTTTTAGGAAGGTTTCCCAGGTACAGGGAATGAGGGAAAAATACAGATATAAGGATGAGACAGGACATCAGGAACCACTCTAGAGTAACCAACAGCTTTATGTCTGTGGCACTCAGCTATAGTATGGTAAATGCCTATTCAGACCTTGGGACTGCACAGTGAGAAGGAGAGTTTGAAGGTATGTTTCCTGTATTGTCAGGGGAATGCCTGCTCTGCCTGGTTTACATCAAGCCTCTTTCTATAGGATTTTCACAAAGTCCTGGGATAATGTTTTTCCCCTCGGTGGTAAAAATTTAGAAAATATTTTTTCAGTAAGTGGAAAAATCTAGGCTGCCTAGCTCCAACATATATAATGTTTTTTTACTAGAGTTGTGCAATATCAATTAGGTCATTTGCACAGCTCACAGAGTCCCAGGAAGCAGAAGGCTGGAATCCTCCCAGATAGCAAGAAAAGACATTTTAAGTTACTGGTTGCTACATTTTCTTTCTACTTTAATTTTCTGCCTCTAGAGTTTGCTTAGCAAGCACCATGAAAAAAAAAGGATACTACCAATTAGGAACCACTACGGTTAGAAATGAATACCATGTCTTGGAGAACTCATAACACAAGCAGGGCTTTGTCTGTGGAAAGCCTGTGTGGTGGAGTTGCAAATGCCTTGCTGGCAGTGTAAAGCACTGGGCTTGCTGACTGAATATTTGCTATAATATATTTGTGTTTGTGTTAGGGGGGAAGGAGACCTTGCCACAGAAAATATGTTATCAGCTTGAGATCTTGCACTCATGCCCGACAGCTAAAATTCTCTTCAGCCTTGTTTTGCAAACCTCAGGAGGCCAGACTCTATCAAGGCTGTGATCCAGCATGGGGCAGACCATCTCCTTGGTGAAAAGAGAAATGCTTACATGATTTGGAAATCATCTTTTCAGCTTCCACAGAGAATTTCTCAAAGGATCTGGGAGAAGCAGGCTGATATAAAGAAATGCGCAGCTTGGTCTGCTCAGAGTCAGTCTGTGATCTGTACTCAGCAGGGTCCTGCAACAGGGGCAGGTGCCAGGATTTGACCTCTTGCCTCTGTGTAACTGGGATAGGGAAATGGTTAAAGATCCCTGGCAGCTGTATGGTCAAGAGGACAAACTAATCTCTCTAGAAGTCAACAGCACACAGGCACAGAAATGAATAAAGAAGTTTCAACCTTGTGACGACAGATTTTAAAGCAGTGTTACTTGCTGCTTAAAAGCTTGAAGTTTTCCCCTCCATCCATTCCTCCCTCCCCTTATAATGCTTTGCTAGGGGTAATAATGGCACAGAATATGTGAACTCCCCTGCCACTGGAGATTTGCTCCGAGTGCCTGAGCCATAAGACTTCTCCTGCCATTCTTGAGAGGTACAGAAATAGTCCCCAATCTGCCCCTAGCTCTAGACATTTTGGGCACTTTGAAAAACACGTATTCTGCACTGATTACATCTTATGACTTTGTGTTGACTTGGAAGAATATAAAGAACATTCTTCTTCACAGCTTTCTCCATGTAAATGATCTTATTTTTTCCAAAGGGTAGACCTTTGCCTCTAATCCTCTCTCTGCTATTGCAGGGAATGCTAAGAATGTGCAGGACTTTACACCAGCTTTTTAGTACAACCAGGACAACTTTCCATGTAAACTGAGACTGTAGGCTATGTGATGAGCCTTTTCATGTACTTTCTGTACTGCCCCTTCCTGCATTTTATTATACTATGTAGTTTCTTATCAACCCAGGACAAATTTACTGTCCACCTAAAGAGGTAGGGTGGCTCTTCTTTATTTTTTGTACAAGAATAACTACTGTGTCTATACTATACCCTCAGGAAATGCCAACAGAGAAAAGTTACTTTGGGCATTGTATGAAGAGGACCCTGGTACCTGAGTACATGGGACAGCAAGGTCACGAGTTACTGTGTGGATCTGCATCCTGCCATTTACTCTGTGCTAATGCCACCATGGGCACTCTTGGGGGATCCTTCAAGGGGACAGCAGATCCAACCTGACAGTGCTGCAGCCAAAGGGGCAAGCCAGCTCCCACAGCCCCTGGTACCTAATCTGTGTGCCTCACCCTTCCTTTGTGCCAGTTCTCATTCCTCAGGGAGCTGTTTCTGCCTGCTGGACTCTGGGGGAAAATTTTTTTTTTTTTTTTTTTTTTTTTTTTTTCTGGGTTACCTTTCCACCAGTGAGCCACTTGGCTTGGTGGTGTGGGTAGGAGGAAGGATCAGATGAGAGCCAGAGTTAAAACAAGGGAAGCAGCAGGACAAAAGAGGGAGGGGGAGGAAGGGAGCAAGACCATTATTTTCGGTGGCATTCAGCCATTATTGTTAATAACATTTCTCCCACAAAGGAGGTGTGTGTGATTCTCTGTCACATACTTTGGGAGTGCAAATGGTGGGTTAAAGTGGAAGAAAATCTAGAGCTCTGTCTTTATTCCTGTCTTCGTTTAATAAAACTAATATCCGCACACCAGCAAGCCCTTGGGTTTTGGCTATCTGACTACTGGTGAGGCCAGCCCTAAATATTACCCCTCTCTCTGGCTGGTCACTTGTATATTCCCCTAGTAACACTGCCATGCTTTGTGATATTATGAAAGGGGATTTGGGAAACTACTAATTTGCAGTTGATAATATGAAACACTTGTCAACTCCCTAGTCAACCTACATCAGCTCTAATATGTTATGCAATAGTTAAATAGTGTTAGCAAAAGTAGCTATACAATATGTAATTACTACACAACCAAGTTCATCTCATGACCTAACTGTGCAAGACTGAGTGAAATGAATGGGAACTTTAAATCCTTTTGTTTCTGACACAATTTTTCCCCCACTTGTGGTGGGTCAAATGGCAATTCATAAATTCAAGCAATAGAAGCTTGCTATACTTTTTTGCTTTATGCTAAATTCAGCCATCATGATTTCTGACGAAGAAATCATGTAAGACAAAGTTGCTGTCTTGACAAAAGATCTGGCTAGATGGAGGAAAGATGCCATCTCCTGGGAACCGAGAGATGCCATGAATACTTTAGGCTGTAACAAAATTGTTACTAGTTTATCTCTATGTGTTGGGCTGCATATGTAAGTTGGACAAAACAAACAATACAATTGTGTAAAACTGAGTAAGAAAGAGTGAAGCACTGAGGTATTGTGGCAATCGTAACACCATTCTGTATTATCAATTCATCATGAATTAAATACATTAAGTAAAATTATGTGGCTTCTGTTAACCTCCTGAGCTCACACGCTCAGGAAAAAAGCAAAACCTCTTAGAGAAGTGGTGATAAAGATTTTTCTGGCAAATGTGTCAGCTACCAATGGGTTTGAGTGGTTAGACCTAGCTAGAAAAAAAAGCTGATCAGCTGAAAAGAAATGTTTTATCATAACTGAAATGATGGGAATTTTGCCTAAATAAATAATATTGTTTTAAAGGAGGAAAAGGAAAAAAAAATAGTAATTGAGCCATGTAAAAATATCTCCTTTCAACAATATCAGATGCAAGCATTCTGATTTGCTGTTTTGAATTCACCTTTCCTTTTGATTTTTTTTAATGTTACACATGATAATATCTAATAATAATGATAATAGACATGATAATGTGCAGCCAAAGTGTGTGGAGTCAGTTAAAAAGGTACAGTTTGATAGCCTCAAATGAAATATTTTTTGTAAAGAACTCTGAAACTTTCATGTTTCATTCCTAACTTACCAAGGACAGTTTTCTAAACCCCTAAGGCCTTCACGGAAAGGCATCTCTCCCCTCTGGATACATTCAATATTTGGGGAAACTAGGATTTTTGCCCTTCAGTATTGAAATCAAAGGCACCTTTTAAGGGGGAAGTCTCCTGTCCCCGAATAGTATCAGAGCTGAAATAGCTTAGTACTAATCTCATTCAGTGGATCCCTGCCAAGATGCTGCTGGTGGTGTCATTTTAAGTGTGCTCTTCAAGTGACAGTTTCTTTAAAAAGCCTCTAAAATGATTCAGAAAACATATGTAATGTTGAAATTCTTTAAACCTACTGGAGGCTGGAGTAGAAACAGCGTATCCCAAAAAGATCCGAGACACAGGTAGAGCAGTCTGGGATTAGAGAAGATAGCAATATGTTTTGCGTCGAAGCACAGATGTATGTTAATAAACTGGAACACATGAAGAAGTGACATCTTGGTGTTACATGGACTTTGTTTGGGTTGTGCACCCATGGACTGTTCATGGGTGGAGACCAACACCTGCCTGCTAGGAGATAACAGCCTGTACCCTTAGAGTGTCTGCCAAATTTCTAAGGGCACCTGAGATTGTCTATACACTTGCAGATGCTTTCTCTTTGCTGCAACAACAGTACGCAGCCTTCCAGCAAAATATGTCCTGCCGTGTTTACTCAGGCTAATCTCTTAATGACTGCAATAAAGAAGAAATGAGGCTGGTAGGGCTTGGTAATCTGCAAAGGTGTGTGCCTAAGGGAAGCATGCACAGGCTTCCACTGCTAGCAGAACAAGAATGGTAGGAATTATTGATTGCATTGATTTTTGAAACTGAAGTTGTCCGTATTTATTGGGAGATGCTAGGAAGCTCAACTGGACTTGCTTGAGAGTAAACTGATGATAATGCGATTTGACTAAATCTTGATAACAAGTTAATTTATGACAGTTTGACTTGTTATAGTATGAAGTGTCCTAAAACAGAAGAAAAAAAATTTATTCAACATTTGTTTCTCTAATCCAGCAATAACATTTTATAGCAAAATTCATTTCCCCTAGAAATATCAATTTGGTCTCACTGTTCTGCTGTCAGCTTGTGTAAAGAACTAGGATTTACTCCAAGATAGGATAGGCAGAGGAACAACTAGGGGTCTTTTTTTAAGCTTTGGACTATGCAGAATTTAAGACATCATTTTGCTTATAATAGTGATATCTGAAACAGCTTTTCTCCTTTATTAAAAATATGTCATTTTGATATTTGTTTTCACCCAGTGGGTGAGGACCTAAATTCAGGTATTACCTTATGTGAGTCCAAGTGGAAATATAAATGCTTACAGGCCATATCTGAGAGAACACCTTGCCCATTAGGTTTTTTTTCCTGTCCTAAAGTCTCTATTCTTGAGAAATTCCAAATAAAATTGTCATTGGAACTGATCTGTTTCTACCAAACATTTTCTTAAAAAAATTACATTTCCAAAAGTGAAAGATTTCAGAAAAAAATGTATTTTCAGTATGCTCTGTTCAGCACAGCTCTTTCCTTTGCAGTCAGATCTATATTTATCTTAAATATAACTGCAGTGAATAACAAATACTTGTTTTGCTTACTAGCCCTTTCATCAACATGGATAAATCAGAATTAGTTAGATTCCATTCCCTCTTGAGCATCTGCAGAACTGATGACTTTTTTCAGCTGTTGCACCTTGGCATATCTTTTCTGAAAAGGAATTGTCTTAGAGTCTCATGGTCTCACTAAATAGTCAGCATGATAAACAGGAAAAAATAATCTAGTATGACTTGTGCTTAGGAAAAAAAGTATCAGTTTACTTAAATAAATAAAGCCTCTACAAATTTACTTTTTTTGTTTTATATGAATACTGGTACACATTTTCCTTTTTATATATCAAACAAGCTGCTTTGAAATAGGTACAAGCATCCAAAACATGATCACAATGCAGAAAATTATAAAGAGGTTGAGGAAAAAATTCCTCTGTCTAATACTTTACCACTAAGAACACACAGAGGTATAATTTCATAGGCAGACATTTGCAAACCATGCTGTATAACTGGTTCATTATTATAAGTAAACAGATGAACACAGAATATTGCTAATATGTGTTATTTGCTTTGAAAATACTTAATGGCATAACACAACACTCTGGATTAACTCAAAATAAATATTTAGCGTAAGGAGATACACATTTTTAAAACTACGTGCTTTCTAGAAAAACTGCCATTTCATCAATATGTCAATCAATTAAAATTATTTGCAAATATAGAGGGTATGACTTTTTTGTAAAATGTTGCAAAGTGGGTGAGACATTACCTAGTGAGAATTATTTTTTGATTCTCTATAAATTTGAAAATTTCATGAAAAAATACAATAAGAATTGGAAAATTCCTCTACAGTTACATTTTCACTGAATTTGCTGACAAAATGAAAACATTATGTAGAAGCCATTTTTTCCATTTTTTTTTAAAAAGTGATGGTAGAATCTAGGCATGGCCTCAACAGACAGTTTAACATTTCCTGATAGTTCATATATCCACCTCCTCAACTGACTTCAATAGCTGTTCAGTTAAGAGCAGTCTTCCAGAAGGGCCTTTGAATAAGTATGTCCAAGATCTCCACCATTTTCAGCGCTACAGGAGATCATTAGAAGGACTAACCATCAGCCAAAGACCTTAAGGTTTCTAGATTTTTAACTGTAGGAGAGCCCACCTTGGCTGCAGTGACCCCAAGGAGACTCCATGTCTCCATGGTGGACACCCCAGGCCTTCCATGGTCTTTCACTCCAGATTACTCCATGATTTAGGCCCTCAGTTATATACCCTTTTCACCAAAGATTTAACAAACTAACTTTTCTTTTTTCTTTAAAAGACAAAACTAGATTTTAAAGAAATAAAGTCATCTAAACCCCCAGAAAAGATCTACAACATTCTACTTCAATTATTCTTCACGCTCCTTGAATCAAGGAGATGTATCTTATCAGATCCTGTAGTCTTGTGGAGCACATTGGCTTGGATCATATAATCAAAAAATGTGAGCTGAATGTATGTAAGCGTAGGATTAGACTCTGCATAAGAAGTTTGTTTAGATTATTTGCAGTATGTAAATATAAATGCATAGAGTGAGTACCAAAATAAGAAAAAAGTACAGAAAAATAAGTAAGTGGGTCATCATGGGGAAAAAATAAAGAAACTAGAAACAAATATAATCAAAATAAAAAATGCTTACTTCTAATTTACATTACTGAAAACACATCTTGAAAACAATATTTTGCTTTCTCATGTGAAGCATAAAAGACAGCAAGCAAATAAACATGAAAATATAATTAATATATTTAAAAAATATTGCTGCAGCATCTATTCCCAGGGAAGTTTAGAAGGCATATATTAGAAAAATTAGGTTTAATAAAGAAAAAAAAAAAGTAAAAAAGCAGAAACAGAACACAGTATTTAGAAATAATGACTACTCAATAACCTCTAACCATACAGATTGAAAGAAAAAGTTTGTACCTTTTCTACTGCTTTGCCTATAAGCTTATCTCCAACTGGTATTAGAACTCCTCCGAAGATAGCCAGCACAGCACCGATGACAGCCCCAGTGAGGAGCCCACAGTTTCTGTTACAGCCCATTCCTCTCCTTAGTCAGGGTGCAGACAGACAACGTAAAGCTATCCTTGCTGTAATGCTTGATGGTTTTTTCTCACTTCTTGGTCCCAATAGACTCACAGATCTTCCTGAGAGAAGCTGCTAACATAAGGAGAGAGTGCACAAAAATCACATTCCAAAGCTCAAAGTACAAAGTGCATGACATGAAGCAGGTAGGAAGATAGCATGTCAAACCAGCCAGCCAGTGACAGCTGGGGGTGGGGAGGGAAGGGAAATTAAAAAAAAAAAAAAAAAATTACATGTACTTTTGACAAGATAGTTGCTTGTTACAGACCATTATCTTTTTTTATTGCAATTCTCTAAAAGATCGGTAAGTTCCTTCATTAGACTTTTTTTTTTTTTCCCCCCCTCTGTTGAATTAGGACAAACTGACAAAATTACTATTCAGCTGACACTCTTCCTGAGGCAAGCACCTTCTCTAAAATCATTTTGTGCCAAAGGAGGAGGCTATAGACCTCTGGTTTTATCACAGCCTGCAATGCCCATGGCTCCCATTTCAGGCAAAACCAGAAGTTTACACCACTAGTGAGAGCTACACAGGCTGTTTCTGCACAGTGCCAGCAAGGCAGTCCTCAAGGTCCATCAGCACCTTGGTGGGAAGGGCAGCCTGTAATGGGAGGCCCCTACGAGAAGGCTGTCTTTCCAGATCTCTGTCAGTCCGGTCTACTACTGAAGGGACAAAACTTTGTTTCAGCCACTTCATGACAAAGGCGTGACTGGATTTTCCTTTTAGAGCTGCATTTCTACCAACACCTAGTTTCATCAATCCCAATTGCCTTACAGAAAGGCAGACTTCTTAAAGCAAACCTACATTTTGATCTTTGAAAGATACAACACCTTATATTTCAAGATCATTCAGTGTCAGAAAAAACAAAAATCTGCAAATACTCATTGGAAAACAACAGTTGCTGTTAATATGTGCTAACGTATCTTAAGATCTGGCCCCTAGTGAAAGGTGTTGTAAAGAAAATCAGAATTATACCAGTGCTGAGAGATACGGTAAAACATAAGCTCCCAGTGATATTTTTTCCTATTTGTTATTGTTTAGGAACAACTGAGACAAAGAGCTGCCTAATTTGCAATTTATTCGTGCTCGAGAATTAATCACACCCACAGAAATTGCAAATTTGTTATTTGCTTTAGACCTCCATTTAACAGAAAGTCTACTGTTTTCTATTTTAGATATCACTGTCGATATCCTTTTTATTCTTACCAAATTCTGTTTGTTAACATGTTGTGGTCATCTCTAAATAAATTTTAAAGCAGGTATTAGTTGCAGAGTTAATCACACATTCGAGGCCAAACACAGAGAGAAAAGGAAAACAGAAAGATGGAGTGGAAGAAAAACTCAATCTGAATTCCCAGTTTACTCTTGAGTATGAAAGGGTTAAAATATCTTCACGGAGTTCTAAACAGTAAAGCAGGAGTAGGAATAGCATGTCTTTTATTTTCATAAATGTGGTTATGAGGTCCTTCTATTAAAAAGAAAAGGCACACACAACATGCGCTGATATAAAAGGTACCATGGTCAGCAGGCTACTGATGTGTCCTCCCACGTCCTCCCAAACTCACAATTACATCATGGCTGTGCCTGAGCCCAGACTGCTCCTTTTATCTGCATTAGAAACCCACCTTTGGCTGCTTTTGTGCTAGCAGCAGTTATGGGTCCCTCGATATTAACAATGACTATTTCTGTACATTTGAGCTCATTTGGTATTTTAATCATTTTTCCTTGGATACTTGCAAGTAGAATGACCAAAAGACTACTTGCAATCTTAGAAAAATACCCTTCCTATAAAAGCCAGCCAGTCCATCCACCTGCCACCAGGTGATTCCTTGTAGTTCCCACATCAAAACTTTTCCGTTTGATTGCTCTACCTACACAAACAAGGGATGAAGGAAAAAACAGTTTTGTCTAAAGTTTTTGACTTTGGCTAGGGACTGTTTACAGTGGTAAACAGTATTTCTGCTGGAGGAGGTGCACCTTATTTGAACGGCAGGTTTACTTAGTTGCTTTCCTCTCTACCAGCTCTGTTACTCTGGTGCCTTTGCACATAACAGCAATAGAAACTCATGAAACAGGTAACATCAAGAAAAAAAAAAAACTATTTTCCCAAACTTTTCATGCAACCTGTTGCACTTTTCACAAAGATAACTGAAAGACAACTTGACTGAATTATAAAACCACCAAGTTATTAAAGGCTCTTTGATATAGTGGGTGGATGCATAATGTGGCTAACAGCAAACTTCAAGGCAAACTCAAGTTAGAAACTCATTAGACCTGAAGAACTTTTAAGTGAAAGTCACTAGGACCAACTCTCATATCTTTGTAGATATGTTCAGATCAGGACCTTTAGTGTGGCAAAAGGAGAGCTGTAATACTGCTGTGCATCTCATTGGATAAGTGAGGTCAGGATTTAACAAATCTGACTGCTGTTACACATTGTAACAAATCTGAGACAATGCAGAAATTCTCAATGAAGTCAAATTCTGAAAAGTATGTATTTTGGGTTAATTTTTTCCCCAATGCTATCTATTCTAGCAGATTTTTTTTTTAAAAAGTGTGGAAATACACAGTTTAAAATTAAAAATGGAAATTTTCTCTTCCATAAATGTTTAGAGAGGGCTTTTAGACATTGTCAGACTTTTTTTCTTGGCTTACATACTGAAGCTTTTCAATTTCAACAGATATACACCTTCCACCAAAATAAATTTCCATCTGTTTCTACAAGCTGTTCCAATGGATTTTTTTTGTGTTAGGCAGACTAGGTATCTCTCATGAGCACTAGCAATAAGCAGCTAGAAAGCAACTGGCTGCTAACAACTTGTGTCTATTCCAAGCTTTTGCAAACTGTAAAATAGTCACCCTTCTCCCACCAAAAACAATGCAATAGCAGTCTAGACATATCTCAATTTAGGCAATTCAAATTATCCATTACACAACTGCAGCAGAGAGCACTCACAACATAACGCTCAATTTCACATAGAAGTCAACAAGCTATTCCCATCTATCACAACTGAATGTAAAATATGAAGATTAAAGTAGAAATTTCCAATAAGAATGCAGTTGTGTCTGAGAATTCATATTCAAGTGAAAATAATTTACCTTAAGCAGAATAGAAAGTACCATAACAAAATTAGATAATGTCTATGAGACTATAGTATCAATTAAACTTAGATTGGACTACAGAATTAATAGGAATATTCACCCCATTCTAGAGTGTTTGGTATGTACTTTTTAATATTGTTTCAAATGTCCTAAATAGAATATTGGCAAATGAAATGGTCCATTCAAATCTCTGAAAAGACAATTTATAAGCAACTGAATAGGAGGAAAGATGCAAAATGTTATTAAACTTTTTCTTCCCTACTTAACTTATACTTCTGTACATGTCAGTTTAAAGCAAGCCCTTATAAAAATCAAAGAATATTATCTGTATTTTCTTCATGACTTCTCCAGCTCTAATAGTAATTTTTAAACATTGCTTGACATGGCATTACTTCAGTTCTGACAGAGAATCAGGTTTATTACTCCAAATAAGAGCAACTACATGGGAAACAAGCAGTGTGTATAGTGAAAATTAAAATGGGTTTTGAAAATTCCTATTAAGAGTTTTAACCCAAAACCACGGTGTTTCTTTAAACATAATTTCAGTTTCTCCAAGGTCAGATGGTGGGATTAACAATCCTGAAATTATTAAGAGATACATTTGCACAGAAGAGGTTATTTCTGCCTTTTTTTTTTTTTTTTTAATCTTTGACATACTTTGAAATTATAGTTTTGAGTTTTTATCTGCAATAATAAATGCTGCAAATATCACTTTAAAAAGATGTAATTCTTATCAATTCACATGACTCCAGAACTGTAGTTTCAAGTATATTAAATATGAAAAGACAGAATGCAATTGGGAAAGCCAGCAATACTGAACATAAAATACCACTGCTAAAATAGTAATGAAGCATTTCACTAATACATGTAAAATTCCACTGTTTCTTGCAAACAACTTTGCAAAATCCTGTCATTTTATTTTATATTACAAATAAATATTTTCAAGAGCTTTCCACTAATCGATTTTAAAAGTATTTCTGAGGAAAACCCTCTGATTTTAAACATGGTATCATATGACTCACCTTAAATAACAGCAACAGACTTTTCAGCTGAACGTACAAGTACTTAACACATGACTTGCATCAAGTTACTAGAAGACAAGCAGCTAAATCTCCCCACCAAGCACATACCTTCTAAACTCTGAGGGAGTGTTTATATATTCCAAGAGACGTCAGTTCCCTCTTTTTGCCCGAAGAAAAAGTTAAGTTGTGTTGGTGCTTGGGGGGGGTGCGTTATTTTTACAGTCTGACTAAAAGCCACTACCTACATCTCGTGGCAATATACTTAGCAGCTGCAATCTTTGTCAAATTTTGGTCCAAGCGAGTCAAAGGTCAAGGAGACAAAAGGGTAACTTACTTATCTGGTTCCTTCTTCTCTAATACCCATTTGCTTTAAAACTGCTCATATTAGCAAGTTATGACTAACCAGTTCCTGACAGCTTCTTTAAGATAGAGAATATTTTCAAATATTCTTTGCTATATAGCATGTTCTGCTGTATAAATAAAGCCTTACTATTGCAGTCATTCTCTGTCAAAATACAGGCTAAACACCTTTGCAGCTTATTCATTGTGATAGTATATTTTCAAGTAATAAAAATCAGGAAACTTCAGAATATTTTCAAAAGGTTTTAGTTTGTTTCATTTGGGTTTGTTTTTTTTTTTTTGTCTCCACACGTTGGATTACAACATTTCCTCACAAAGTGCAAAGGCTCTTCCTCTTTTATTGGAAGTTCAATGAACTTCATCCCTGAAGCTTTTTTTTCTTCATGTATCTAAAAATCAGTTATTTTTACACTAAAATCTGTGTAGACCAAAGCGTCACCCCAGCACAGTGTCTACTAATAATTAACAATAATCAGTTTGGCAAGCTTTTGCAGAAACATTTTTTAAATACCTCCTCATCCCAGGTGAATTAAATTAATAGGTTGTTTGAAAAAATTCTTCTGGCAGCAGCAAGAGGAACTGATTTATATTTAGCTTATTTAATTACAAGAGAGAAAATATTCCTAAAAATAGATTCTCACATCCAGACTTTCAGGGTATAGCACTGAATAGTTTGTGATCCATGTTTAATATTTGCTATGTGTTTTGACTGATTGTTTACTGTTCTGGTTTTTATATTGCCCTATTTGAAAGTTAAGCTTTTGCAGAAGAAGCTCCCTTCTTCTAATCTACTTCTGCTAAGTAAATCTAAGGTGGCTGAAGATTAATGAATTTGAGGTTTTGTCTCATTGTAGTGAAAGCAAGAGTGAAAGTGAGCCTGGTCCTTTGAAAGCAACGTGTAGGACAGTCTTTGTTCAAGGCTCCCTCTCAGGGAAAGTTGGTAACCCTGACTCCAGTTTCACATCCTTGAAAAGAGCAGTATATTTGCTTTCCTCTATTCTCTAATTAAAGAGTGGAATTTAACCATTTGAAGAAGCAGCCCTCCACACTATGGTTCCCATGCACTACTTTTATGAATATTATCATTAATTATTTCTATTGGACATCTCTTCGTATGATGCTCTCCTGAGGATGCTCTTGTTTGGGATCCCCCAGCTTTCCTCCCTGGCTGCACTGCCTTCTTCACTGCTGATTTGTCTCTTCTAAGAGGAAGTAATTCCAGTTACTCACACCTGCCCATGGAGATGTTCCCTACCATGCTCATTTTCCCCATTTGAATTGTATGGGATTCAGTGTGCACCATTCATAAGGGAGGAAAACATCTACTGCACTCTTTTTGTTGGAAACCTAAATGCAGGATATAATGAAGCTCGATTTTCAACATATACATGCTGAGTTGTATCAGCTAATTTTGTGACTTATGATATCCTATCATTGTCCTATATAAGCAAAATCTCTTCTAGCAGGCAGTGCTTGGCAGTGAAATGAGGACTACCAAGTTCACCTGCAGAAACCAGCTAAAAGGATTTGAAGCTAAGAGAGAAGTTGTGCACTTTTGGATATCAGTCATTTCTCTTTCTTAAAAACAAACCAAACCATAAGCACTTAATGTCCTTCTGTGTTCTCTGGCTTCATATCAGGGTTCAGAGGTTATAGGGGAGAAAACACAAAGCGATGACAGAAAAGGAAAAAATTAAGTACTTCATTGGAGTCCCAGTGGTGCGACAACAGACAAACTACCCTACGAGGAGAAATTGTTGAGAAAAAGAAATAGTGTGACACTCACATGCTTGATGAAGACACAGAAAACCACAGGAAGCAGAAAAAGACAAATGCAGTTGTTAACTCCAAATGAAGTCCACCCACATTTCCTGGAATAAACATACTACTGACAAGAAAATGCTGACGAGATGAATGTGATTCCTCACTTTTCTAGACCTCTCATAGCACGGCCTTTTGGAAATCGCTTTCTTTGGGGTGTTTTCTAAACACAGAGGGAACAGATGAGGAGAGTTATCATCTTTCTATACGCCCTGAGATTCCTAAACACTCAATAGCTCCCCCTTTTTTCTTATGTCAAGATCCCTTCCATCAGGGGATGACATATTTAATGACACGTATAATTTGAATTTTGAGGATGCCCACATAAACATTCCCACATTCCTGTGGGAATTCTCTGTTGTACAGTACAGCGTGGCATGATTTTATATTCCCATTTTTCCACAGTCATGGCACTCTCAGGGTTTTTCTTCACCTGCCTATTATGAAACCTGTAAAAACTAATCTTAAAATTAATCCCTTGTCAGATGTGGAGATGTGGCTGAGGTTAGCAAGCAGATTAGAAAACTCCAGGAAACTGCTTTCTGTACTTTTGCACCCCCTGAATTTTTCAGAGGACACTAATCTTAAAAAAAAAAAAAAAAAGCCAAACAAAAACATCCTTGTAGTTGTCAGGTGAAGTGCCAAGCCCTGGGGCAGAAGAAGAGGTTAGTGTTTTTGGCATTCAAAACATGATCTTCTATAATCTTTTGAGTACTCTTCCTATTTTGAAATAAAAGTGTGAAGAATTATGTTTACCTCCTTCCCATGGCAAGTAAAAGCACAGATTTATTGTTTATCCGGTTTATTCCATTAGCATCATCTTATGTGCTTCTACACTCCCTACCCAAAATCCTGTTGCCACCATTCAGTGGTCCTCTCTGGCTTCTCCACAGTTATTAAGTCCCACAAGAAGGGTTGTATCTTGGACAGTAGTGAAAGATTTAAAGCATTCAAAAAAACCCCACAAAGAATAAGAACATGTGGATCCTGTCCCCAAATAAGCTCTTTCTGATTCAACACACTCATGTTCACTCACATGCACCTAGTTCTACTGAGGAAGAGAATGAGGAATATGAATCATCTAGAGAAGAAAATGTGCAATATGCCACCAGCTGGGTGAGACTTCTGTCCCTCTGCATGTATTGGAGATACTAGGAGATGTTCCTTCATAGGGAGTGAAATTTTGTATTCATGAAAGACAGTTTGATTTCCTATGGATATGAAATAATATATGTATTTCTTACATTATATATATATTATCATATAACATATATCATCATGTAATACATAAGCAGCAGCACATGAGCTATCCACCTGGACCAGCCTCAACAATTTACTTCACTTCTATTGCATAAAAGCCTCCCCTAGAGTCAATATGGCCTATCTTCAAGTAGTGCCTATAAAGAACTTGAATATATAACACCCAAATTAAAAAAAATAATAATATATAACTAATAATTTTTTCCTAAATGGTATGTTCACTGTCTTTGTTTTGGGTACTTTCACTGTGACTGCCGTTTTCTACCACCTAATCTTCCAAAAGCCCTGGGAAAGAACAGAGGCATATGGCAGCAGTAGTCACCTCACTTTAAAAGAAGGGAGTATCAAGAGATTTCAGTTGTGTCAGTTTTGCTTTTAATATCTTATCTCTAAGGACCTAAAAGAAAATATGGTTTCATAGCAATAATTACTTTCTTGTTTAAAGTTAACTACAAATATTTGTTGCAAAAAACTTTATCCAGGTAAAAAGTAGGCATCTGGCCTAAGGAAGATGAATTGGTTTCTTCTCGTCCCAGTGGAGAGGTATGAGTACTTGCACAGACTCATCCCATCTACCTTAAAAGCTTATCTTAGGCAAGTATGTACCATATCCTTTGGAAGTATTGATGTCTCTCCTTTAACTATAGAGGATCAAACCAACACATTTAAGTTAGACATCTAACTTTTCGAAGGTTAATATTAAAAAAATTACACTCAAACTGCCCAGAAAGGTCTTTCAGCTCCTCCCCTCATCAGTGTGCCATACTGGTAATACCAGGACAGCTATACAAGGTTCTGGGAAATGCAGACAAGCGGTGAAACAAGAAGAAAATGCAATGAGAAAACTTCAAAATATTTACCACCTGACATTAATGGAAAGTTTGGCCAAAGATTGCAGAGGTGGTGTAGCATTTTTTTGCCCACCTCACACCACAGACTTTTACTGCAGATGTGTTGGCTTTCACGGCTTTCCAGTGCATGCCCTGATGCATACTCCAACCACTCATATAAAGCAGTCTTCAGCCCCCCGAAAAAAGATCCTCCCAAACATGCATTAATACCTGATTTCCCTTCACAAGAGCTTGGAAGACTCATTCCAAACTGCTGTGTAGCTCCTTCACTACTGGCTAATGACTCCCAACTATAGTTTTCCCAGCTCTGTGAAGTGTTAGGACATAAGGTGCTGTCCCTTGTGATTCTCAATGTGTTCTGACGATATGGAAAGCATCCTAAAATACCATTGGCTCAAGCCAACTTGGCAGCAGTGCAGTGGAAACAGTGTGATATATTTGGCTCCTGCCAGTGATGAGTTTCTCTGTCATATTGTAAATAGGTTCTATAAAGGAAAAATGAATGATGGAACACCCAGCTGCTGCTTCAGTTCATTTTTTTCCCCAGAAATATCGATTCTGAGCTCTTCTTCACTGACTATAGCATGCATAAACTGATGCCTTTCTCAGTCCTCAAAATCGCTTCTAAAAATGATTTTCAAATTATTTTATCAAGGGAATGAGGTGAAGAAAGCACAAGACCGGTGGGGATAGAGCTGACTGATTCTTTCACTCCTGTGGGTTCATGTAGGAGTCACTCAGAACATAGATAGGAAGGAACTTCATAGAACCGAACCCAATACAGAAACTG